AAACCTTTCCCCATGTTTTTATTATAGAATCAATTAGGAAATGACATTTATAACCCAGGAAAAAATGTGTTGCTAAGGATCCTTCCACACAGCCTTATATCCCAGAAAATCAAGGCGGAAAATCCCACGTTATCTGAGTGGACTCAGATAACCCAGGTCAAAGCAGATATTGTGGGATTTTCTGCCTTGATGTTCTGGAATATAGTGGTGTGTGGAAGGACCCATTGTGTTATCATCTTGGGACTACAACTCCCAGAATCCACTAAGGTAGGCATGGGCCAACTTGGGCCCTACAGGTGCTCTGGACTTCAACTCCTATCATTCCTAACAGCTTAAGCGGCCGAAGGGGAAAAGAAAAGGGCCTGATGCTGTTAGGAATGCTGGGAGTTGAAGTCCAAAGCATTTGGAGGGTCCAAGCTGGCCCATGCCTTATCTGCACTGTAGAATTAATGCAGGTCAGTATCACTTTAACTGCCACAACTCATTGCTATGGGATCCTAGGAGTTGTAGTTTGGTGAGACACCATCAAAGGCGACTAAGGACCTTGTAAAACTGCAACTCCCAGGGCTCCATAGCATTGAACCCCCGGAACCCCCAATTCCCTTAATATTTATTTACATTTATATCTATATATTTATATTTCAATGCCATGGCTCTATAATTCAGTGGTTCTCAACCTGTGGGTCCCCAAATGTTTTGGCCTACAACTCCCAGAAATTATCTAGTTCACCAGATGTTAGGTTTTCTGGAAGTTGGAGGCCAAAACATCTGGGGACCCACAAGTTGAGAACCACTGCTCTATGTTATGGCATTCTGGGGGGTTATGGTATCACCTATTCTGCCAAAGAGCCCTGGCAGTGAAGCATGGCACATATAAAGGTGTCCAAGCGCCTTGATTAATGTCTAGTGTGGATGCGGCCTAGGTTTGTCCCACTTACGAGTTGGCATGCAGGAATTCCAGGCACAACTCCGCCCTGCAAAGGGAGCTGTAGGGCTTGGCTTCGGCCATTTCTGTGCAGGGACCACGCCGCGTTCTCCTGCCTCGCCCAAAAAGCCAGTCCTAGCGCGCCCCCTGGTGGTCACGAGCGGGAATGCTTCAGGGGAAGTTACAGGAAAAGAATACACATGACATCATAGAATAATAGAATCATAGAGTTGGAAAAGACCTCATGGGCATCCAGTCTAACCACCTGCCAAGAAGCAGGAATATTGCATTCAAATCACCCCCCACAGATGGCCATCCAGCCTCTTTTTAAAAGCTTCCAAAGAAGGAGCCTCCACCACATTCCGGGGCAGAGAGTTTCACTGCTGAACAGCTCTCACAGTCAGGAAGTTCTTCCTAATATTCAGATAGAATCTCCTTTCTTATAGTTTGAAGCCATTGTTTCGCGTCCTAGTCTCCAAGGAGGCAGAAAACAAGCTTGCTCCCTCCTCCCTATAAATTCCCCTCACATATTTATACATGGCCCTCATCATGTCTCCTCTCAGCCTTCTCTTGTTCAGGCTAAACATGCCCAGCTCTTTAAGCCGCTCCTCATAGGGCTTGTTCTCCAGACTCTTGATCATTTTAGTCACCCTCCTCTGGACAAATTCCAGCTTGTCAATATCTTGAGTTGTGATGCCACAGTGTGATTCCAGTTGTGGTCTAACCAAGGCAGAATAGAAGGATAGCATTATTTATTTATTTACTTTATTTGTATACTGCTCTTCTCAGCCCTTAGGCGACTCAGAGCGGTTTACAACAATTTAGGTATACACTATACAAAATCGTTAAGCATTTAAAAGCAATAGCATCACAAATCATTAAATAGCATGACTTCCCTGGATCCAGACACTATACTCCTATTGATGCAGGCCAAAATCCCATTAGCTTTTTTGGCCGCTGCATCACATTGTTGGTTCATGTTTAACCTCTTGTCCACGAGGACTCCAGTTTGACTGTGGTGGCTCAATACAGTAGAATCATGGAAGTTGTAGTTTTAAGTGTTTTTCAACCTTCCTAATGCTGCAATCCCTTAATACAGTTCCTTATGTTGTGGTGACCCCCAACCATAAAATCATTTTAGTTGCTACTCCCTAACTGTAATTTTGTTACTGTTCTGAATCGTAATGTTAATATCTGATATGCAGGATGTATTTTCAATCACTGGACCAAATTTGGCAAAAACGCCCGATATGCCCAAATTTGAATACTGGTGGAGCTGGGGGGGGGGGGGGGATTGATTTTGCCATTTGGGAGTTATAATAGCTGGGATTTATAGTTAACCTGCAATCAAAGAGCATTCTGAACTCCACCAATGATGGAACTGAAACAAACTTGGCACACAGAACTCCCATGATCACCAACTGAAAATACTGGAAGGGTTTGGTGGGCATTGACCTTGGGTTTTGGAGCTGTAGTTCACCTCCATCCAGAAAGCACGGTGGACTCAAACAATGATGGCTCTGGACCAAATTTGGCACAACTACGCAATATGCCCAAATGGGAACACTGGTGAAGTTTGGGGAAAAATAGACCTTGACATTTGGGAGTTGTAGTGGCTGGGATTTATAGTTCACCTACAGTCAAAGAGCATTCTGAACCCCACCAATGATAGAATTGGGCCAAACTTCCCAGACAGAACCCCTATGACCAAATACTGTGTTTTCTGATGGTCTAGATGACCCCTTCACAACCCCTCCAGAGGTCCCGACCCCCAGATTGAGATACACTTGTCTAGAGCTTGGTGTTGTTGAAAGCCTTCATGGCCAGAATCACTGGGTTGCTGTGAGTTTTTCGGGCTATATGGCCATGTTCAGGAAGCATTCTCTCCTGACATTTCACCCACATCTATGGTAGGCATCCTCAGAGGTTGCAAGATCTGTTGGCAAGTAGGCAAAGTGGGGTTTATATATCTGTGGAATGTCCAGGGTGGGAGAAATAACTTGAGCCTTTCCTGCCAAAGAGTCCTCACCAAACTACAAATCCTAGGATTGCATGGCATTGCAAACAAACTTACCCCACTCCCATCCCATTAATTAAAAATATAGTTCTGGTCAGTCTTTTAACAGTTGTGTTTTTCTTCCATTCTATATTATAATAATGGTACATATCTAATTGTTAATTCAACCTTTCATTTGATAATTTGGTGGTTCAAATTTGCCATTGTTTTGGAGAGTGACCATGTATCCCATTTCTGTTTGTTCCATCCACAGTGTTGCCTCTATGATGTACTTTCCCCCTTCCTCAACTGAAAGACGAATGCCACTGTTCATCCTTTTTGGACTCCTCTCAATTACACATTTTTTCTTCCTACCTCATGCAGGGTTTTATCATTTTACCTCACCCATTTGTCCTGCCCATTGTGTTCGATTTTATATGATGTTTATTTGCTTTATTTATTTTATTGTTATTGTATGTATTTTATTCTGATATTATTCTGTTGTCTGAATTATGTATTTTATTCATTGGTATTGTATTTTCGGGCTTGGCCTCATGTTAGCCACCCCGAGTCCCCTTCAGGGAGATGGTGGTGGGGTATAAATAAAGGTGGTTGTTGTTGTTGTTGTTTTGATGTATCAAACTACCAAATGGTTTCCATGTGATGTCTATTTCTCTTTTCATTACTCTTATATATATAAACTTTATGATAGGTTTATAGCCTATATCTTTTTAGCCCATTCTAGATGGATACGTTATCTTATTTTTTCCAATTTTTGGCAATCAGTAACTCCATTGCATGTAACCTAAGTGATATGAGGTCTTTATCTGACAAATCTTTATGTCCCCTTCTGATCCCAGGTTTTCTGCTTATCCCAGATTATCTGGCAGTGTGGACTCATATAATCCTGTTTAAAGCAGAAAACCTGGGGTCAGATCCTGGGGGCCCTTCCACATAGCTGAATAAAGTCCCACATTTTTTGCTTTGAACTGGGAAATATGTGAGCGTGGACTTAAATAACCCACTTCAAAGCAGATAATGTGCGCTATTCAAGCCTTGACATTTTGGGTTATATGACTGTGTGGAAGGACTAGATTTATATGGGTACCCGCTTCTAGATAACCTGGGATAAACAGATAATCTGAGATCAGATCCTGGGATATAAGGACAGTGTGGAAGGGGCCTCAAGCATATAGTCACTGGGCAATAAAACTCGCATTAAAAACTTGCGTTGAATTTGGTGAAATGGGCTGGATCTACACTGCCATATAAAATCCAGATTATCTACTTTGAACTGTATTATATGGCAGTGTAGACTCAGATAATCCAGTTCAAAGCAGATAATCTGGATTATATGGCAGTGTAGAAGGGGTCTCAGATCAGTTGTATGAAACCATTCAACTCTAAGGCTGGATCTACATTGCCCTATATCCCAGGATCTGATCTCAGATTATATTCTTATCCCAGATTATTTGGCAGTGTAGATTCAGGCCCTGTCTACACTGCCATATAAAATCCATATTATCTGCTTCGAATTGGATTATATGGCAGTGTAGACTCAGATAATCAACTTTGAATCAGATAATGTGGATTATCTGTTTTGATAATCTAGATTATATGGATGTGTAGAAGGGGCCTTCTTTCTGGGTGCGCTTACAATGTAGAATTACTGCATCTTAATGCCACTTTAACTGTAATGGTTCAATATTTTGGGGCCCATGATAGCATAACATTGAGCATGCTACGGTATTATGGTGTTAAACTATATTAATTCTACAGTGTAGATGCACTCTGTATTCTCAGAAAGACAGTTTACAATATAGGGAAGTATCACCTCTTCATTTGTGCTGCCAAATAGAGGAACGTCTTTGATATTTTACATGATCACAACTGAGTAAGTTAAACATCTGTTCCTTGGGAGGGAAAACATTTCTTTTCTGGCATGTATCAAAAAGTCCTTGTCAAAAGTCCAAAGGGTTGACAGAGGTCGAGGAAACATGCCATGCAATGGTGGACTCTGCCCTCTACCTGCAAGTTGGACGTAGTAAATCATTTATGAAGCAAAGGGAACCTAAAGTATAAAAAGAGAGCAATTTTTGCTGTTGTACTGTGCACCGTTTCCCCACCGAATCAGCATCATGGCTATGACAATATTCCACTTTGTTATGTGTGCCGTATTGTTGAAAGGTAAGCTTTTGGGGGCCTATTTTCTACCAGATATAAATATTTATATTTGTTATTAAGTCGATACACATAACTTCTTGGTTGAGTACTTTATAGGCAAGTGGCTGCCCAAGTCTACAATGGAACATACAGTGCAATGCACTCAAGGTCTTGTTGGATGCAGGTACTTTGTGGTCTATTGAAGATTACTTTTTATGACTGCCATTCTCAGAATGCCCCAACCAGGTGGGCGATACTGGGAATGGTCGTTTTTAAAAAGTAACTTTTCTAAATTGTAGTAGGATCATCACTCAAAAGAAAATGTTCTATCTATCTATCTTGATATAAAGCAGAGTTTGATGTAATATGAATGGGTTTTTTTTTTTAGAAACTGCAACTTGCTTCTGGTGTGAGAGAATTGGCCGTCTGCAAGGACGTTGCCCAGGGGATGCCCGGATGTTTTTGATGCTATGCCATCCTTGTGGGAGGCTTCTCTCATTTCCCCACATGGGGAGTTGGAGCTGACAGAGGGAGCTCACCCGCGCTTTCCCTGGATTCGAACCTCCAACCTGTCAGTCATCAGTCTTGCTGGCATAAGGGTTTAACTGATTGCATCACTGTTTTTGTTTTTTTTAAAGACCCCTTTACCTACTGAAGCATTTCTGTAGAAGGGAAAAAGCTTTCTCAAGTTTTTCTTAGGGCCCTTCCAGACAAGCCCTATAACCCAGGATCTGATCCCAGGTTTTCTGTTTATCCCAGATTATCTGGCAGTGCGGACTCAGAAAACCTTGGATCAGATCCTGGGATATAGGACCTGTTTGGAAGGGCCCTAAATCTTGTGGCCAACAATACTACCTTGCATGCACTTATTAATAGTGCTTTCCTTTTTTATACTAGGATAGAAAGCAATTCTATAATGGCAGAGGGCTAAGGATTTGTTGATCTTTAGCCTTAACCTATAGTGTGATCAATTCATTGTTTCACTTCAATCAGCTTTAGTTGTTTGTTCTAGTAGTGATTTCTGAGGGTCCTTCCACACAGCTGTATAACCCAGAATATCAAGGCAGATAAACCCACAATATCTGCTTTGAACTGATTATCTGAGTCCACATTGCCATATAATCCAGTTCAATGTGGATTTTATACAACTGTGTAAAAGGGTCCCTGAGGTCCCTTCTAGTTCCATATAATCCTGATTATCAAAGCAGATAATTCACATTATCTGCTTAGAACTGGATTATATGAGTCTACACTTCCATATGATTCAAAGCAGATAATCTGGATTTTATATTGCAGTATAGAAGGGGCCTCACTTACATCTTTCACATAGAATGCATTCACACTGCAGAATTAACTCATTTCGATACGACTTGAACTGCCATGACTCAATGCTATGGAATCCTGGGAGTTGCAGTTCTACAAGGCATTTGGCCTTCTCTGCCAAAACATTCTGGTGTCTTACCAAACTACAAATCCCAGGATTCCATCATATTGAGACATGGGCCCCTTCTACACCGCCATATAATCCAGATTATAGAAGGGGCCATGGAGGCTAAGGGCTCTTCCACACAACCATATAACTCAGAATATCAAGGCAGATGATCAACAATATCTGCTTTGAACAGGGTTATCTGAGTTCACACTGCCATATAATCCTGTTCAATGTGAATGTTATGCAGCTGTGTGGAATGAGCCTAAATGCCCAAATTTGGGATTTAGCCTGAGGTGGTCGAGCGATGGTCTTATATCGTGGGAGCAAGATAAACTCAATAGCAACATATACATATACTGTGTATAAAATAGATTCTAGGTGGGATGTTTTACTTCTTATTATTTATTTATTTACTTTATTTATACCCCAATTTCTCATTGTTCATTTCACAATCATTAGGACAGAATGTGCAAATGTTGTAGTGTTGTGCACGCAAATAATTTCCAATGATCCTAAGACAAACATTTACCGGTAATATGATTTTTTTGGCCAGATTCTTCTGAGGGTGAAGGTACATGTACACTGCAGAATCAATGTTCTCTGATACCATCTGAACTGCCTTGTCTCAATGTTAAGGAATCCTGCAAATTGTAGTTCTGTTAAGCAACAGGCACTCTTTGGCAGAGAAGGCTAAAGATCTTGTAAAACTCCAAGTCCCAGGATTCCTTTGAGCCATGGCAGTTAAAGTGGCAACAAACTGCATTACTTCTACAGTGTAGGTGTACTCTGAGACTTGCCCAAGATTATCCAGTGGCAGAGTTGAGGATGTGAACCCTGGTGTCATAAATCTCTAGTCCATATCACAGAAATTGCAAGTTTCAGTAATATCTGAACACATCTGATCTCTCTGGTCAAAACTTGTTTCCGATGTAGGGGGTGCCGGTGGTTCGATTCTAAAATCAATTCCGATTTTCACAGAAAAAAAGTTCAAAACTTTTCGAAACTTCCGAGACTTCCCAATCCTTTTGTTAATAGTTTGAAAATGTTATTTCCTGTTCCATGGTGTGGTCTTTACTTTGAAAGTAGTTGTTTTACTCCAGGAGCAGGGAAAAGCAAGCGGAGGAAATTCCTTCCTTCTCAGGTTTAAAACTGGCTTCTCAGGCTTGAGACAGAAGCAGAGCAAATTCATGCTCCTCTGATTTATAACTGGCTTTAAAACTGTCTTCTCTGGCTTTAAAACTGTCTTCTCTGGCTTGAGCTGAGGCCAGGAACCAGAAGCGGGGGAAAACCGAATAATTTCTTACTCACTTCATGAGTCGTAACAAAAATGGCAAAAAAGCTTCAAAAGGGCAAAGGGACTTCTGGTTTTCTTAAAAACTTCGAAATCGCTTCAAAAAGGAATTTTTTCCAACTTTATTCCGAAGGATGAAGATTCCGACTGGACCTAACCATGCCTACTCTCTATGAGAACCATCCGATGAATTAATAAGCTCATCTTCTTTTGTCTATAAAGCTCTGTTTACACTGGAGTGATTTGCCCTTCATGCGGTACATGGTTTTTACAAAGCATTGCTTTCTGTTCGTTTTAATGTCCTGATTGAAACACTTGTGGCTTGCCAAATACCAATTTTAAATATGTCCATGGATAAAAGCTAACATGTTACTACCACATCAGTGGACGTGGAGCTTGTATTCCAATTGTGGTATATCAAATGTGCATATTCTACAAATCTATCATTCTCACCATTTGCCTTGCAGGAGTCCTGGGGCTTCCTTTTGCCTCTGAAGAAGAAGCCAATCAGTTTTTAGGACTCAAGAGGCAAACACCTTCTTTCGACTATTTGCAACTAACTAGTGGCCAGAATAACTTGGCTGACAAGGTATTGATCCTTTAAAGATTCCACAGTAGAGTTTTGAGACAACTAGTGTGGATCAAGATTGAAGATTCACCTTTCTTTGCCAGGGATTCATTGGGTTGAAAAAACATTCCAGCCATTCAATAAATATTTTTTTAAAAGTGACTAATGAATATGAGGTCCACCTTTGACTGACGTGTTTCAATGCATCTACATCAGTGGTTCCCAACCTTTTTTTGACCAGGGACCACTTGACCAGGTGGACTTCTCTCCAACATTAGTACCAGAAGGGCTACAAATCAGTTTTTGGTCAACCTTATATTCAGTTTGGTTATTTGGGGTGCTGATTTAGAAAATTGCACTGGATAGACCACATCAGCTTTAGTTTCAGATACAGAACATATGGAATCCAGTAGTCGTCATCTGCTCATCTACAGAAATAATCTAGAGCTGATGTGGTAGTACTAATCTTTCATGGGTAGTCAGCCTCACCCCTCCCTACATCCCGTTGCTTCGGCACTAAAAGAGGGTTTCACAAGACCAGTTGTTCTCATTGCCAGATGGTTTTGAGGCATCATTGTAGTAACAGTGAGTCCGCAGACCTTATTTTTGTTCCTGCAGACCACTGGTAGTCCACGGACCACACCTTGGGAACCACTGGTTTACATTGTACAATTAATTCAATTTGACACCACTCTAACTGCCATGATTCAATGCCATTGATTCTTGGATGTGTAGTTTGCTGAGACAACAGCACTCTTTGGCAAAGAAAGTGAAAACTCTCGAAAACCTACAATGCACATGATTTATAGTATTGTATTGAACCAATGCACATGATTTATAGTATTGTAGATTTATAGTATAGTATTGAACCATGGCATTTAATTTATGGCCTATCTGCTTTAATTCCACAGTGCAGCTATCATGGGGTTTTCTTGGGAGGTTTTATTGATAGGTGGTTTGGCTTTGCCTTTCTTTAAGGTTGATCATATCTTACTTGCCCAAGACCATCTAATGGCTTCCTATGATAAGAAGATCAAACTTGGGTTTCCTGCAGTCCTAGAGTAGAATTAATGCAGTTTGACACAATTTACTGCCATGGTTCAAAGCTATACTATCACTGGAGTTGTAGATTTACAAGCCCTTCAGCCTTCTCTGCCAAAGCGTGTTGGTTCCTGATGAAACTCAAAATCCCATGATTTAATGGTAATTAAAATGGTATAAAACTGCATTAATTATATTATGGAGATGCCCTCCTAGTCCTACCCTGGTCCCACCCTAACTTCTACGCTACAATGGCTCATTGTTTTTAACTGCTACTATAAAAACCATACTTTTAAACTGCTTTCGCGGTGGGGATTATTTATAAATGTTGTGTTGAAAAGGTTTCTTGGCTAAACCAATGCATATTGTGTTCTCAACAGGTTAGCGAAGCTTGGGAAGCACTGAAGAAGTCAGCACAGTATTACTTGGGTTCTGAATGGTTTCAATTTGATACCGACACAGCCAAGTAAGTCATATGGAAAGACTGAGGGGCCTATCATACTCCACAGTTATAGCACTATCATTCCACTTTCACTCATAGAGTTAGAAGCGACCACAAAGACCATCCAGTTCTTCTTTTTTTGGTCATTTTTATTCTTTTTTAATATATATATATATATATATATATATATATATATATATATATGTAACCATAATTATCATACTTTTTTCCTTTTTCATTCCCTTCTCCCTCCCCACCCACCCTCCCCCTTCCCTGTTGACAACTTAATCCTTCTGTTTCCCCTTATGTGAGCCTTCTTTCCATTCTATCCATTTTTTCTTCCAGCTTTCATCATCTGGTTTAACAGCCTGTAACCATCTGTTAAATGGAATCCAAATTTCTTTAATTTTCTTCTGTTTGTCTGACCATGGGGTTTTTTTTTTGCTTCTTATAATGTCCATAATTTCTAGTTGTATTTGGTCCCACACTTATTCATACCATTTTTCAAGTGTCCGTTTCTTTTTCTCTTTCCACCCTAAGCGATTACTGCATGTGCTGCTCTAAAAGACCACCCAGTTCAAACCCTTGCCATGCAGGAATACACAACCAAAGCACTCCCGTTACATGACCAATCAGCATCTGTTTCCAAACCTTCAACATTGGTGCTAACATTGCTTTCTTTCCAATACCAAGCTAAATTATGGTGTTTTATTAAAGTCTTTAAGGACTAATTTATTTTGAAGTATATATGCATATGGTTTTAAACTGTGGTAGTTTTGAGGTGGCTTTAACTGTTCCTTTTAATATGGGTTGTTGGGTATGGTGTATTCTTAACTTTTTCAAATTATTTATGGGGTTTTTTGTTATTACTGGAGGGGTTAAGACTGTATGGCACAATTAGTGACCAGCAGCTCAGATTGTCTCACAGCCTTGGAATTGTGCTCTTCCTCTGTTTGCTGCTGAGACTAGCCTAGTTATATTCCTGATCTGTTTTAAAGAGTCTTTTCAGGTCCTAAAAGGACATGTCTTGATCACAACAGGCATGACAAGAAAAGTAGTGACAGAAAAGTCTAATTTGGAACCAACTCCTGAAAGTATCTGTTGGTCAGTTGGTCCAAGCACATTAGTTAGATATAGAACAATTTCCTAAACTATCTTTATAAACACTCTTGGTCAAACATGAATGACAGTCAGGACCTCATCACATTTGATTTTTTTCAGTGTCCTAGGATGCTTCCAGGACACTGGGAAGACGGAGCCTGCTGGATCCCATCTGATGATGCACAGCTACTTCTGGCGGGACTCCGTTCTCCCAGCATACTGGCAAAGTCCTACGACAGAGCCCTGAGAACATGGGAGGCGTCCGATGGTCTCATAGGAAAATCTGGGAGATTGTGCAGAGAGTAGCCGGCGGCAATGTTTCCCCCCATTGGATGAGGAAGGGGGCAATGAAGGCAATGCGTGGCACGGAGAGATAGTTTCCCCTGATTTCCCCTGGCCTAAGGACCTCCATCTGATGAGGTCCTAGGATCAATTGGACTTATTATTTTTTAGGGAAATGGATATAGGATTGCATCTTTCAAACAGTGTACAGGCAGTCCCCAAGTTACGAAGAAGCTAGATTCTGTAGGTTTGCCCTTAAGGTGAATTTGGTTTATTTTTTATTATTTTATCATGGTTCAGTACATTTGTTATACATTGTTTGTTTTACAGCAGAAACATATTATTCAATACAACCTACCATACTTTAACTTTTTGCATCTAGTGTTATTTTCTGCTTATACATATTGTCTATCCCTCACCGCTGTGCTCCCCTTCCCCTGTCCCAAGCCACAGCTTTTACATATCATCTGTCCAAAATTTCAATTTCAATTCTTCTTGTGGAGGCAACTTTCCTTCTTTATTTTTTTAATCCTCTTTCAATAAATTTTCTCCATACCTCATCAAAATCACTTTGTTTCCATATACCTCTTTTAACTTTTAATATACATGTCAGCTTATCATTTATTGCCAATTTCCATACTTCCTTATACCATTCCTCTATTTGTATATTTATTTCTCTTTTCCTGTATATTTTTAAAGTGCAACTCTAGCTATACATATAAAGGCTTTGGATAGCATAGGAAAGGGTTAACACTCCTGTGATGTTTGTTTTGCTGTCTGTGCCCCTGTTTAGAAGATTTCACCTGATTTTCCGTGAGAGAATTCCGTGAGAGAATGAGAATTGCATTTTGAAAAATTGGGTTTGTTGTGGAAACAAAGATTGGTGAACAAGCTTCACAGGAGACACCCTTTCCCCATGATAACTCTCCCAGGAGTGACTTTCCCTTCCTAGGGTTTTCTCTCACTTCCTGTTGTCGCAACCCTGTTCTTAACTATGATTCATTTTAAGTCGGATGTTTGTAACTTGGGGCGGCCTGTATTCATAAAGACTCAAATCATGTATGATTTGTAATGTGCACTTTGTAAATCTGTCACAAACAGCATGTTGTCTGATTAACCCCATCTTGTCACCTCCAGACCCACCCTACATTACCCATTAAAATATTGAGCCTCAGAATTTTCCTGTGTGAGGGTTTCCACTTTCAGGATCGGTGCAATAAAAAAAGAAGATGTACTGCAAATAGTAATGCATTCAAGCTTTAGACCAAAAAGGAGACAGGCAAACCTATGGGGACTTATCTTGAAAGCAGAGCCCTTAATGGGCTTTACGGCCACACAGAAGCTTACCTGATCTCATGACCATATACCTCCAACTGTCCCAATTAGCAGAGAGATTCCCAATTGCAGTAATTTTCTGTTATCTCACTTTTCAACTACTTTCCCCAGTTTTCCTCTTCTCTCCCCTCCCAACTTTTATCCTGAGATTAGTCCAATGATTTCAAAGTGCTAAAGTAGTTTGCACTCAATTAGGAGTGTATGTATGTGTGAATCTTGCTCTTCCCAGTAGACTCAGGCAAAAGCAAACTGTTGCAGTCTCTTCTGGCTTGTCTGTCCTTCCTCTTTGCCATCCTGACCATATTCTAACCTTGCTTGTTCACATATGCCCCAGCTTTCATCTGAAATGTTGGAGGGTGTGTGGCCAGCAGAAATGAAACAACTTAAGCATTAGGTATCTGAAAAGATTTTGGCTTTCACTGGCTCATGGTAACTTCATGCAGATTGCAAAAATACAGGCACACAGAGCTCTTCAGTTATGCCATTCCACAATGCATGAGAAGGATTCTGACAAAAATAATTGTTCTCTTGATTAACAGGAAGCACATTACCTCTTATATGGACATGTTACCCCAATCTGAAGCAGGACTTAAGCGGCAGAGAAGAGATGCCTCGCAGACGTTGGAAATAATAATAAAAATTTAGAACCAACAACACCTTGCGTAGAGGAAAACATTCAATGCCTCACCACAAGTGCAGACATTAACAACCCACCAAATCTCAAGAGGAAAAAATATACATATCGCTTGGCTGTGCATAAAGTATATACAATAATTGATTATATTTTAGTTTGTAAAATATGTTAAGTAAATTGTTAAATGCTAATATTGGAAGTATTAAAGTTTCAAATCATATCTTGGTGTCAATTGAGATTGCTTTGAAATGTGATTATGATAAAATGAGAAGGTGAAGATTAAATACTAAAATTTTGAATTACAAAGAAATTGTGGATAGAATAAGAACAAAATGGTAAGAAATTTGGGGATTTAATGAAAGGGAAGTATCAAAAGGAGTACTATAGGATACAATGAAGGTGGTGGTAGGAGAAAATCTAAAAAAAAAAAAAAAGCAAGAAGAAAGGAAATTTAGAAAAAGAGTTAGAAGAGTTGGAAAAAGCAGTAAAGAGAGATATACAAATATACCTAAGGTTAAGAACCAAAAAAGAGAAATGGGATAAAATGGAAATAGATGAAGTACAAGAAAATTTAATATACATGAGGGACTTTTTTGAAATTAGCAATAGAAATTCAAAGATGTTAACCAAATACACACACACACACACCAAGAAAATGGAAATTATAATAAATATGATAAAACATAAAACAGGTAAAATACATAGATCATTGAAAAAAATTGAAGGTTTTGGCACACAGAGCCCCCATGACCCACTCTAAATCCTGGTGTTGTTTGGAGGAGGATGGACGATGGATGATGGGATTTGCAGTACCTTCACTCACTTCCTGAAGCACAGCGACACTCATCCAAATACCAATAAAGAACAAACTTGGCACAGAGAGCCCCCATGGCCAACTCAACAGTCTGGTGAGGTTTAGGGGAGAACGGACTATGGATGATGGGACTTCAAGTACCTCCACTCACTTCCCAAGACTGCTGCAACCCTCATCCAATGACCGATCAAGACCAAACTTGGCACACAGAGCTCCCATGACCCACTCTCCATCCTGGTGCAGTTTGGAGGAGGATGGACCACAGATGATGGGACTCACAGTACTTTCATTAACTTCCTGAGACCACTGCGAGCCATATAAATAACTGATAAAGACCAACCTTGATATACAATGCCTTTCTCAAATAACCCGGGCAGTGCCGGGTCCCCAAGCTAGTATTAAATAAAATTAGTGTGTTTCGAGAGAAAGATAAAAACAAGGATACTGTAGATCTTAGAAAACTATTTCTTAATTTAAGTCGTTGATGTGCTGGCCGATACCCAAACGGGGTGGGCCGGAGATGTCACTGCCTTGATCCTTTCACTATTGGCAGCTACTTCCTGGCGGATGTCAGGTGGTGCAATACCGGCTAAACAGTGTAATTTCTCCAGTGGTATAGGGTGCAAACACCTCATGATAATGCGGCAGGCCTCATTAAGAGCCACATCTACTGTTTTAGTGTGGTGAGATGTGTTCCATACTGGGCATGCATACTCAGCAGCAGAGTAGCATAGTGCAAGGGCAGATGTTATTTATAAAAAATACATTAGGTAAAATGGATAGGATAAAGGATCACTTAGAGCAGTGGTTCTCAACAAAATGGAAAGGATATAGAGGAACATAAAAACTGAAAGGACTAACTAGTAAAACATATAAGATGTTAACTGAAATAAATGAAGGAAAATAAAGAACCACACCCTCAAGGAGATTTGGGAAGAAGATTTAGGGATGAAAATGAATAAAATGGAGTGGTCACAATTATGGGGAAAAGACATTTGAAATAATATCAATACTAGTTAAAGAAAATTATCATAAGTTGATATGAAATTGATATCTACCACCAATAAGAATAGCAAATATGAACAAAAACTTTTCAAATAATTGCTAGAGAGGATGCCAAGAAGTGGGAACATATATACATATGTGGTGGCCGTGTAAATATGTAGGTAATTTTTGGGGAAAGGTATTTAGAGAGATAGAACATATAATGAACATCAAAATAGAAGAAGTCCTAGTATAGCTTTATTATCATTATATAACAATAAACAGTTGAAAAGGAGGAAAAAGACGCAGTATCAAACAATAGCAAGACTGCTTATAGCAAGGAATTGGAAAAAGGAACCCAATATATAAATAGAAGAGTGGTATAATGAAATATGGAAATTGGCAATAAATGATAAGCTGACATGTAAATTCAAAGTTATGGACCATGAAAACAAAGTGATTTTGATGATGTATGAAGAAAAATTATTGAAAGAGGGTTAAAAAAGAAAGATGGAAAGTTACCTCCACAAGAGGCAATGAAATTTTGGACAGATGATATATAAAAGAAGTGGCTGGGGGGGGGGGGGAGGGAGATGGGAGCATGGTGGTGAGGGACAGAAAATATGTACAAATATGAAAATAACAGTAGCTGCAGAAAGAGAATGTATTGTAGATTGTACTAAATTTTACATGTCTACTATATAACAAATGATGTATAACACATGTATTAAATTAATAAAATAAATAAAAATATTTTAAAAAGCAACCCACCCAATCTCAAAGCAAACCAACATCAAACAACCAATTATTAAATAAAATCTAAAATTACACAAATACTTACATTATAAAATTATATCTAACCATAAAAACATAAAGTTATTTCTAACCATAAAAACATAAAGTTATTTCTAACCATAAAAACATGAACATTGGTTTAATGAGCTACCAGAGGTTCACTAAAAAAATTCAAATTCAAAGCGATCTCTAATTGCTATAGTATCTAGCAATGCCGGCCGACCTGCCAAGGACAGAGTACAATGATAATATCCATTCAAAAATGAATTAACTGATTTTCGCTCCCTAGTCCTCCTCTCCATATGCTAAAGTGCACAAGTAGGTTTTAATTGTTTTTGAAGGAGAGGAGGAAAGGGAGTTTTTTTTATTTCTTTAGGGAGGGCATTCCAGAGGTGAGGGGCAATCACAAGAAGGCCTCTCTCATTCCCACCAGCCATACTTGAGATGGGGGTGGGACCGATAGTAGGGCCTCCTCCGCTGACCACAGTGCCCAGGTAGGTCTATAAGAGGAGATGCGGTTCTTTATGTAGCCTAGAAATGAACCATTTAAGACTTTAAAGGTAATGACCAGCACTTTGTATCTAGCCCAAAAGCAGATTGGCAGCCAGTGGAGCTGTATGGAGCTCTGGTTAGTAATCTGGTTGTCTTTCTCTGTACCAGCTGAAGTTTCTGATCTGTCTTCAAAGGCAACCCCACGTAGAGAGTGTTGCAGTATTTCAAACGGGATGTGACTAAAGCATGGACTACCATGGCCAAGTGTAATATCTCAAGGTACAGGCGCAGCTGGCACACGTTTGAATTGTGCGACCAGGACAGCAAGCCTGGCATTGGGTGGAAAGGTGATAGAGTTGGATGTCATCTGCATAAATTTGACACCGAACTCCAAAACTCCGGATGATCTTTTCCAATGGTTTCATGTAAATATTAAACAGCATGGGGGACAGAATTGAGCTGAGTGACCCCACAGGCACCTGGTCAGGGAGTTGAACAGGAGTACCCCAGCACCACCATCTGGGTCTGACCCTCCAGAAAGGACTGGAGCCACTGAAAAACAATGCCTCCAAGGCCATCCCAGTGAGCTATCTCAGAAGGATATCATGGTCAATGGTATTGAAAGTTGCTGAGAGGTCCAGGAGAACCAACAGAGACACACTCCTCCCTATCTAGTTCTCTTCATAGATCATCCACCAAGGTGACTAATGCTGTCTCTGTTCCATAGCCCATCCTGAAACCAGATTGAAATGGATCTAGATAACCAGTTTCATCCAAGAAACTTTGCAGTTGTGAGGCCACCACTTTTTCTAGAACCTTGTCTAGGAAGGGGCCAAAAGCTGTTCAGTTGAGTGGGACCCAGTGCTGGATTCTTTAATATAGGTCTTATTACTGCCTCCTTGAACCTACTAGGCATTATTCCTCATAGGAGGCATCCTGCCTCAAATAACAACAAAGATACAACCCAAAGAGAAATTGCCCAAGCCCTTTCATATTGTCTCAAGAAAATAAATGGCTCACATAAATGGCTCACAGACTCGCAAACCTCATTAGACGCACTTTAAACTAGGTCCACCGGGGGAGGGGGACAACAGCCTTGCGAACACTACTTTACCCATAATGTCTGGGAATCGCCAGA